GTTATGTCATGATAATGGAAACATGGCGGCAAACAGATTACACTGCTAGAGAAGGAGCTGAGAGTTCTACATCCGGACCCACAGGCAGCAGAGGGAGGTTGTATTCTACCTGATGTAGGTTGAGCATATATGAGACCTCAAAGCTTGCTTTCACTGTGACGGACTTCCTCAACGAGGTCACACCTCCTAGTAGTTCCACTCCCTATGGGCCAACCTTTCAAACATATGAGACCATACCTATTCAAACCACCACAGAGCCTGTGTTTGTTTCCTTTTTTTTTTTTTTTTTCTGGTAGTGTTTATTTCGATAACCCAAAATGAATAGTTCATTCTAGAATAAAACTGTTTAAAAAGTATCAGCTATCACTCAGTAACTCCTGGAAGTCAGGTCTATCTGCCCTTGCTCAGTGTCCAGTCTCACTTCATACTTGAGAAAGGTAAGGAAATAAAAAGCCAGGGATCAAGCAAGGTCATATATCCAGCAAGCACTGAACCCAAGAGAAAATGGTGGACATAAAAGAGACTCCAGTAAAAGAGAAATAAGTAAAATTGGGATCATAATCACACCAATAAAATTTAAATTTGCTGTCTCTGAGAGTGAGGGCTTTGCCAGTCAGGTCAGTCAGGCTTACATCTGGGCTGGTGTGTATGTGAGAGAGAATGTTTGTATAGACATGTATGTGTGTGCTATTTGTGAATATGTACATGTGTGTGAATCTGTGTGCATGTGTAAAGGCACATCATCCACAGTCTGTTGATTATGATGCCCTTGAAATTCTTCAGACACTTTCTTCCCTCTTACCTTTCACCATGCATTCCATGACAGAAATTCTTGCAGACAGATGGCCTGCACTTGTCCCTCAGATGGCTAGATAGTCGTAGGTTTGGAGAAAGTTGGAGTCGATTCCTCCCTGAGATTAGCGTGCACGCGCGCGTGTGCACGCACACACACACACACACACACACACACACACACACACTGTGCCTTTTGAGTCCCAGCTCACATTGATAGATGGGACTGACAGTGATAATGTTATTGTAGTGTTAGTACAAACTGACCAGGTTTGGGAGTCATCATAAGTGAACTAAGGGGGAAGCCATTATGGGGAAAAGCAGGGAAATGGAGATTTAATCTGTGCAGTCACACTGGAAGAGGAACAGAAAAGGACTCCAGTGACCTCAAGTTCCTCTACAGGGCACAGACATGAACACTGTCTACATGTGAGAAACGGGGACAGAGAACAAGAGGTCCACATAGTTTATAAGGTCTGGTGTAGGTGCTTCCGGTTGATCTTCATCTGCAGTCTGCTTCTGAGAGTGGCCTCAAGGAGGTCCATGCTGCTCTAGGCAAGCAGCAACTGTTCTGCTTGAGGTGCAGCCTCACAGTCATAAACAACCGACTGTTCTGTCTTCCGAGGATCAAGATTGGTTGGGGTGGTTTTAGTCCCTTGTCATAAAGATATTTAGCTATCCTGTTTCTGGACTACGGGTAATAGCAGGTTTGAGACAATGACAAAAGGCCTTCAGTGGCCTTTTGGAGTTCTAGAGCAGGACGCTCTAAAAGCTGACAGTAAGTCCATGCAGATGACATAGGTGGAGCTATGACATAGATAGTGTCCCTATGTCACTACCATCAAGTGCCCTTTTTATTCTGTGTCATTGACTCTCTACTATATAAGTACAGTGTTCTAACTGATTGTGCCACTGGACCTCCCTGACTGTGTGCAGTAGAAATTGAGGACATGATTGGTCCATGGTATGGTTAAGGGGAAGGTTTTTGTTTGTTTGTTTGTTTGTTTGTTTGTTTTTTAGATATGAGAAAGAGAACTCCCCCCAGAGGCATCTAGAAGAACCCGGAGAGAGGAATAAAATAGTGTACTGAACATGGACAGCAAACTGGACCTAGCCATGAGAGACATAGGAGCAGAGCAGAGAGATAGAGAGAGAGGAAGAGTGTGGGAGAGCAGAGAGAAGGGGGAGGAGAGAGAGAAAGAGGAAGCCAAAGAGTGTGTCCAAAAAAGAAAGCATAGCTGGAAAACCAGGGTTTTAAGGAGAATAAGTAGCTTGGGGGTGAAAGAAACTCCTGATCTGGAGGAGTTTAGGATAAGGGAGGAGGGGAGAAGAGCTGAGAAGAGCTAGGATGCCAGCATGGACTCTGAATTGTGTAACAGGCACTTGTGATACTGAGGGAACCTGGAGCCCAGCACGTACTTTGGTATGCTAATAGGTACCACAGATAGACATTTGTTCCTTCTGCCTTTTGGAATTTGGAAAAAATGGAGTTTCCTTTGGACCTGACATTGGCAGTACCTTTTTTGGTTCAGCTAGAGTGACTGCTGCTTCCTGATGATTTTTATTTCTTATTTTTGGGGTGTCTCTTGATCAATCTCTCTCACAGATAACTCCGTGCTCATCACACATATGGCCAGGGACCATCATTTGTCTGTCCTCACAGGAAGAGCAGAAGAGTTAGTCTGGAAAGTGAGCCTCTACTTTGAAGAAAAAGGCTCTTCATTCTCTTAGGGAATGGGGAGGCCTTTCGAGCCAGACTCTAGCTCTCTTCCCATGCACACCCCTGATAACTATTCAAAGGGTGCTTATGTTAGGTAAAGTTAGCTGTCCTGGGATCAACTGTGGCGCTCCCAGTGAGGAGTACCACACTTATCAATGTTTGTTTGGAAGTCAGCTGTGCACTCGCTGTGAATAGCAAAAGCCAGCTGTTACTGAGCTGGGGAAGGAGCTTGTCTGGCTTCCTGTGACTATGGCTATGGTGGTGAGGCCAGAAGGGAGGCGTCAGAGGGCTTGGCCTCTCAGACAGGAAGAAAGAAGCTCATCCAGTCCATCCACAGATCATGGCCGAGACCACAGTCACAAGCCACAGTCACGGAGCAGCCACTGCCAGAGCACAGAGGAAACAACGTAGGAGAGGTAGTCAATGGGGTTGTGCACCCTACTCTGTATGTGGAACACTGACTTCAGGTGGGTCTTGCATTTTACAAAGCAGCAATTGGATCCACTTTAGGTGCCATTGCTGAGGCAGAATGCATCTCTTTTGTCTTGTGCATAGATAGCACATCGTTAACTGATCTCACTCTGGCCATCCATAGCTCTGTGTCCTATCATGCTGCAAGCCTGTAATTCCTGCACTTTGGAAGTAGAGGCAGGTAGATAAGAGGTTCAAGGTCAGCTACAAAGCACATTTAAGTTCATCTAGGACTACTTGAGACCAGCCTGAGCCATGTGAGTCCCTGTCTCAACACACACACACACACACACACACACACAGAGAGAGAGAGACAGAGAGAGAGAGAGAGAGAGAGAGACAGAGAAAACTGAAAGAGACAGAGAAAACAGAGAGAGAGAGTGAGAGAGAGAGAGAAAGACAGACAGACAGATCTGAAAACCAAAAGAAAAAGCAAGCAAGCAAACAACCAAAAAATTCTGGTAAATTATTAAACAAGAAAAGGTATTCTGTTCTTAATTATTCTGAGAAATTGTAAATGAAAGCTATTACTAACAACCATCAAGATGAGCAGCGGGGTATGTGTTGGGGCACAGAGATTGAGACTCAGTTCTTGGTACAGCATGTACAGCATTTAATCAGCAAAGAACGGGCAGGTGATAGTAGATAAACAATACTAGGAGCAAACACCAGAGGTTTTGGCTCCTGCTGAAGACAGGCCAGGATGACCAGATGCTGTTTGAGGTGACATGATTGATTGCTGATCAGATATCAAGACTGATTAGATAGTGAAGAGGGACATTTTTGATTAGCTGACAGAGGAATTCTTAAAAGCTAGATTTTACAGGTGGGCATGATGCTTCATGACCAAAGTACCAACAGTGGGGAGGCAGAGGCAGGAGGTCAGAGTTTGAGGCCAATCTAGGGTATATAATGAGACCTTATTTCAAAACAAGACAACAAACATATGGATTTTATTTTTAACCAGAAAGTACATAGATAGGCTTGGCAAAAGATCCAGAAGACTGACAGGAATTGGATCCAGCATAGAATCTTTATCAGGTATTGTCCTTATAAAGGGAGGTTCCCACAACTAACCAAAAATTCTGTGTATTTATCATTTTACGGCAACTGCCCTTTTAGGAATCTGGATTCATTCGAGGATATCTTTTCATCTCAGGACCTGTTTAATTGGAATGCTCATGTTGACTCCCCGCACACACATGGCTCTGTGTGAATTGACACTGATGGGTGTTAAGACATTTGAAATGGTCTAAAATCAAAGCATCAATCAAATTACACACAAAGAAATTTGGGGAAGCCAGGAAAGGAAATAGGAGAGAGTTCTGTGCAATATTTTAGAGTGATCATCCAAACAATTTTTTAATCGCAGCTTGTAGATCTGTGGTAAAGAACAGAGAGAATATTATCTGTTGATGATAGCTAAGAGAATCTGAGGTTTCCAGAACTGACCAGTCTTTTAAGCCTGGCCACCGTGTTCCCCACCAGGTCGTCTTGCTGGCTGGGAGAGTTGTGAGATGTCAGAGTAGTGGAGACTTGGACACCGCAATGGCAGTGGAGGCTTCTGTTGTTTTTCTGTGCCTGCTAGGTAGGCGCTTGACCTCCAGCCATACTCCTAAAAGGCCCCTCCCCACAATCAAAATTCCTGTTTAATACTGTCTCATTTACTCCCATTCAAACACTCATGCAGGTGTGGACACACACACACACACACACACACACACACACACACACACACGGAGTCAGTCCCTTAGTGGACACTCTCCCAACAGCAATGCCCTGCTTTTGTTAAATCCCTTGCCATGAATGAGGACCAAAAGGACCCCTGGTCAAATTACACCGGTCTGAGGCTAGCTGGACCCGACTACAGAAAACCTGGTCAAAGCGCAGAGTCCCTTCTCCTCCACCCTCCGTCTTTTCCTTCCCACCGGGACAGCTCACCGCCACCTCTGCTGCCTCCCCTGGGATTTCCTGACTCTGAGACATCACCTACATCACTGCCTTGAGGGTATTTGAGGCCAGAGCTCAGGCTCTTCCTCAGCTGGGTTCTGCTCACTAGCTTGAACCTGTGGTCCTGAGGTAAGCTCTGCTGCTGGCGGACAGAGCGCTGGGGACAGTCATGGATAAGAGGAGCGGGGGGTGGCGCGTCCTGAGGTCTCTGTACCTGCTCCCTTAGCTGCTCCTGCTGCTCCGTGGCTGCAGCATCTTTGTGACAGACGTCAGAATCCCGGAAGGATGGGGACCAAGAGGGTCCCAGTGATCTGCCCAGGGCAGCAGGCTCTGCTACACCTGTGGCCCCTTACTGGCGGGCTGTGCCTGTGTCTTAGAGACGGGGCTGGGTTGTTGTCAGGCAGTTGCCCAGACGCTCAGGACTTTTAGCTGAAGTGCCTGTGAGAATTGATACCCTGAGAACTGTTCCAGATTTTGTGTTTGTTTGCGTCGTTGTTCTTTATTCAACTCACGGTCGGAAGAACTATTGCAAGATTCGAGGTCTGCGGGACTAGTAGGACACAGAGTTTTGACGAGGTTTCTGTGCCTGATGAAATTGGAATGTGGGTTCTTTTCTTCCTCCCTTCCTCTTTGTTTTGTTGATGGATCCGAGCCTTGTTCTGCTGAACGTTTGCTCGGCCCCTAAGCCAAGCGTTGCTGTTCCTCCTTTCTGCCTTGAATCTGTTTTGAGAATCAGAAGTATGGAAAACGAGCGTTCACATGGAGTCCGGAAGCTAGGTGACCCTTGTTTCTTCTGCACTGTTTTTAGAGTGCATGGGAAACACATGAGCTTGTGATAGCCGTGTACCCAAGGCTGCCCACCTCCTCAGCAGTTTTAAGCCTGTGATGTGGGGTCTGACTACAAATAACATTTGAATTAAGGTCCTGTCAGCAGTGCTGGGGCTCAGTCATAAGCTACAGGAATGGCCACTGTTAGTGTTTGTGGACTACCCTCAAGCTGCGTCCACTATGGCCTCCGTCGCCACACAGAGAAGCTGCGTCTGGTTCACGCTTGGCTCCTTAAACCAAGTTCACTTGGTTCCCTGGTTCTGTTCAGCAGCAGACAGAAACTACTGGGAGAGAAGCCAGATCTCTGGCTGGTAATCCTAGCGTTCAGGACACTGAGGTAGGAAGATAAGAGTTGGAGGTCAGTCTGGGTGATGGTAGGGTAAGATCTCAAGTCAAGGCAGGCTGTTTTTCCTTTTCTTCTTTAAACAGTATGGGACACAGGCACTATATATTTGGCATTTGCATTGTATTGGGTAATGTAAGTCATCAGCAGACTATTTAAAGAATACAGAAAAATGTAGATTGGTTATAGCAAATATTATTTTATTTTTATTTTGAATGTTTTTCCATATCATATGTGCTTGCTTGAGTGGGTACACGTATGTGGGTAGGTTCATATTTGTACACACGTGTGTGAGGTTGATGTCTGCCATCTTTTTTTATTATGCTTTCTTCACCTTATGTTTCCAGGCAGGGTCTCTCAGTGAACCTGCAGCTGGCTATTTGGGCCACTCTGGCTTGCTAGTTTTCTTAGGAGATTCACCATTTCCTCCCCTTTCCGGACCGGGATTACAGATGACTGCTGTAACCATCTGGTTTTTAGGGTGGTTCTCGGTCCTGCTTGTGAGGCAAGACGTTTACCTTCTTGACCCCGTGCCCAGCCTACTACTTGAACACCTGAGGATTTTGACGTCTTCAGATTCCAACTAATTAGTCTTCAGAAACCTAGACACAACTATTTAAATTTAGACCAGGACAATTCCAATCCAGAGCGCCTTATTACAGTACAGTGAACCACAGCTCGCTCAGCGCAGAAACAGTAGATGGAATTGGAGCAGAGTCAAGTTTCCCCCACATCCTAAAGTAGGGTATTGTGTGGGGAAGTTGCATAATCTCATTAAAAACCATTCACCCCTGTTTCCAAGCTTGCTAGACCTGGGCCAAAAAAGACATCAGAACAAGACAATAGTGTATACTTCCTGAGATTATTCATCCACCTTCTTCCCCTTGCCCAGGAAAAGAAAGATTGGGCCCAAACAAGGGCCCAAGCACCCATTAAACCAGCATTTAAATGGTCACAGTTTGTGGGGAAATGAAGGCATCCTTAAGGAGATCAGGAAGCACAGTGAAGTGATGGCTCCTGACTTACTAGCTTACAGAGCCTTATCTGCTGAATGCAATCAGTGCCCGAAGATGGTAATGAAGCTGCAAGGGAAAATGATCCCAAAACAGACTCATGAGGCTGCTTGTAGAAGTACAGAAAACTGTGCGGTGCTAACTTGTTAATAACGTGCTTTATGTCCTTGATTAAAACTGTTTTCACTTTCAAAAGCGATGTGATTTTTACTGTGCAGTCTCAGGGCCTGGAGCATTACAGCAAGTGTTCATCCCCCGATCTGTTCTGCCAGCTCCTGGAATGGCACTTGTACAGCAGTGAACATTTTCATATTACATGATGATTTGTGCATGTTGCAGTAAACACGAGATATTTTTAGTCTCTGAGTAATTGATTGTTAAAGATTCATATATCACAAACTGAAAGTGAAATGGTTTTATTGTTATGTAATAGGTTATTTTCAAATTCAGGTCTCTGGACAATCGATTTTACTCAAGGTTTTGACCTAATTCACCAAAAAGGGGAGGGGAGTGGTGAATTGTAGACATTCAAGGATTTAGTTCTTTTCACCACAGAAATAATTTGTTTTATTTATTCTCATCTCCTGGTTTTCATAGAGCCATGCTAAACTAAAGAGTCAAGGAGCCCTTTAAGCTGTCATAGCTGATAGGATTGTGCAGAAGAGTTACACAGTGGGTTCACAAATCACGCCATGCAACTGGTTCCACGTGGGAGGTTTATTAGGGGAAGGGGGAGGGGTCTCTGGACAGGGCAGGAGAGAAAGAGAAAGAGGAGAAGCTTCGAGTTCTCTCTTTTTTTTTAGGTTTTTTTTTAAAATTTTTATTAATTACACTTTATTCATTTTGTATCCCCCCATAAGCCCTCCCTCCTGCCCTCCCTCCTCCCCTCCCGATCCCACCCTCCCTCCCCTTTCTGCATGCATGCCACTCCCCAAGTCCACTGATAGGGGAGGTTCTCCTCTCCTTTCTGATCATAGTCTATCAGTTCTCATCAAAAGTGGCTGCATTGTCCTCTACCATGGCCTGGTAAGGCTGCTCCCCCCTCAGGGGGAGGTGATCAAAGAGCAGGCCAATCAGATTATGTCAGAGGCAGTCCCTCTTCCCATTACTATGTAACCCACTTGGACACTGAACTGCCATGGGCTACATCTATGCAGGAGTTCTAGGTTATCTCCACGAATAGTCCTTGGTTGGAGTATGAGTCTCTGGGAAGTTCCCTGTGTTCAAATTATCTTGTTCTGTTGCTCTCCTTGTGGAGTTCCCGTCCCCTCCAGCTCTTACTATTTCCCACTTCTTACATAAAATTCCATTCACTCTGCCCATCAGTTGGCCATCAGGCTCAGCATCTGCTTTGACAGTCTATACTGCAGAGGCTTTCAGAGGCCCTCTGTGGCAGGTTCCAAGGTTGTTTCCTGTTTTCTTCTGGCTTTCAGAGGCCCTCTGTATCAGGTTCCGAGGTTGTTTCCTACTTTCTTTTTCTTCTGATGTCCATCCTCTTTGCCTTTCAGGATGGGGATTGAACATTTTAGTTAGGGTCCTCTCTTTTGCTTAGTTTGTTTAGATGTACAGATTTTAGTGGGTTTATTCTATGTTGTATGTTTATATGAGTGAGTATACACGCAGACTCTAGGCTCTAAAGCAGGCAGGAGTGCTGTGCTCAGCCGCCATTATTGAGTTCCCCTAGGGCACTGGGACACACAGCTGCATCCTCAGACCTACAAAAACCAGAGAGCCATTACAGCAGCCCTCGAGTTCTCTTATAAGGTGACCCAGAGCATACGCAGGTAGTTTCAGGTGGTCCGAAGGTGGTCTGGTGATCTGCAGGTGGCCTCACAGATGCCGGATAACCAGTTCATCGGGTCCCTTGGGGCTGGCCATAGAGATGCCTGCTTACTGATCCCAATAATACCAAGGCCAGGATAAGAGAGAGATGGACAGGACGTGGACAGGACGTGGACAGGACATGCCTGCAGACGTTTGGAGTGACAAGGTTGCTGGAAGAAGTTTATTAGTGTTGGTATGGGAAAGAGGAACTCAGAAGGGGCAGGTGCAGTGTTGTAAGAACAAGTCCCACAGAGTCAGGGTGAGTTGAGGAAAGGGAAAGGGAGAAGGTATTCTGGGATCAAATGTCATCGGACTTCTCAGTGGCAAAGCTGATGGCTGAAAGCAGTTAAGCAATGGCTCAGAGACTCAGATGTTAAAAACCACGCCCAGCCTATGATAGACCCTGGTAAGCTCTCAGTGGAATGTACGGAAAAACATTTTCATGTCAGAAAAATAATAAACATTTAATTGGACAGCGTGTGCAATCAGAATAAGGGAGCGAAGCAGGAAGCTTTTTGTGTCCAGAACAGATGATACTGGCAAAGGGATATGAGATGTTCAGAACTTAGAGAACCAACCATCCAAAATGGAGTCCTGTGGATGATGTGGTCCATGTTGTATGAACCAGGTTGTATCCTTGAACACAATTGCACCATGAAACAGAACAGCAGTGAACTGAGTCTAGGTGTTTCAGGAAAGTCAGGTGCATGGGAACTTTCAAGGTGGCTCTGGTCACTTGGGCAGTGAAGGGAAGTATGTCTCCCAGCTTGCTGCTGGTGTGTCCAATAGCAGCAGCTGGGTTTTCAGTCCCAACACTCAGCTGTACTCACAACCCTTCTATTAACAGAAACCAGGAGATAAGCACTATTACGTCCTTGGACTAGATATTTTTAACACAGCGTGGGAGGCCCTTTTGTTACCACAAAGGCAGAATGTTTGAGAGCAGCAGCTCAGAGCAAAGTAACCAGCTGAAGGAGATTCTTACTAGCAAATAAGAACAGTTCTGAGCATCAAGAGAAACAAAAAGCAAATGCCAGTTGACTGAAATACTCTGTAAATGGATATAAGTGTATATGCTCAAGGATTTGGGGCTGGATCTCTATCTTTAGTACCCGTATCAGCCTGACCACAGCTAACAGCCAGATTGCACCCTGTGTCTGTTCACATGCCAGAGAGCTGGGCTCCCTTCCCTTGCTGTAAACACATCCTTTCCCCTTTTGTGGTTCTACCTGTTCTCACACACTACTCGGGGGAGTCATTGGGAGCTTGTTAGAATGCTACAGCTGTTAGGCTGGGGAAACAGGACTTTGTTACCTGTTTGTGGGTGATATCAGAGCAGACATGCCCTGCTACTACAGTTTCATGTCTCCAGCCTCCTCTGCTGCATTTGTATGTTTCTAGGCTGTGAGTCTAGTCCTGCCTCGTGTCCTCTCAACTGACTCCTTGTGGCTTTTCCTATAATCAATGATTTCTTGTACATTAGAAACACATGGCACTAATCCTGATTTAGTCTATCTGTTCTCAGCATGGCTGAGTGATTTAATGAGTGTGACCTTTACCTTCTGTGCTGTGGGGGCCACGTTTTTCACTGAGCCACAGCATCACAGTGTGAGTGAGAGTGAAGATGCAGCTTACACATCAACCTGTGTTTATGTGATGTTGATTTTAATCCCTCATCCCAGGCTCACCATCATGGATTCTCTGCTGGAAGCAAATGGTACCTTTGCCTTAAACCTTCTGAAAATACTGGGTGAAGACAGCTCTAAAAATGTACTTTTCTCACCCTTGAGCATCTCCTCAGCCCTGGCCATGGTCCTCTTGGGGGCAAAGGGAACCACTGCAAGCCAGATGCTTCAGGTAACCAGCATCATTTCACAGCAGATAAATATCATTGATGGTCATTTGATCTGGTTTAAATCTCAAAGTGAGTGCTCTTGTTGAATAACTCCTAGCGACATAGAGGTATGGTTATATATGATGGGACCCTTGGCCAGTTGGTGTTGGTTTGCCATTCAGTCTCACTTTTCCCATGATTCAAAATAGGCCAGTGAGTGGTGGATCCTGAGAGGGAGAGCAGGGCTGGGAACAGTGAAGGGTGAAAGAGACCTCAGGTGGCTGGCTGTGTGAGTGCAAATGGGCTCTCACAGGTTTCAGTGAGATAGTCTTTGAATGGGACAGGTTCTTTAGTAGTGAGAACAAAGGCTACTTAAACCTTTGGCAGTTGGGTAGGGGCTTTTGGTATGAATGTACACATTGGCTAGGGCCAGGTGCTGGGGATGCCTCATTTGCATAACGAAGAATTTCAGGTGCTATGGAACACATGACCTTATAAAGGGAGAGGAAATTTAACCTGGCTACCTTCCTGTGGGGGATGTGGAGAGGGAGGCACAGGGCTCTGTGGGCCTGGGCTGGCAGTGGGGGACAGAGGAGGAGGGATCCTATTCCTGCCAACCTCAGGATAAGATTTTCCAGGTCTGGAAAATCCTTGACCTCACTCTTACTTTGGGCAGCTCTCCCAGTCCAACAGTCCCCCAGCCCCAACAAAGGTTGGGGGTGTTAATTGGAAGGCTGGAGATCACTTGGGGCAGGCACCAAATATTTGGCACCAAGTCCCCCTGTGACCTCACTCTCTGTTCTCTGGCTCCCCGTGGAATTACAGAGACAACCAGCCCGGAAAACATTGGGAGGCGGTGACAGATGAGAGCAGTACAAACTTTCTTCAGAAGCGAGGATGAGTACTTGTGTGGTTTAAGTAACACAAGAGTTTATTCCTACTGTTTTATGGGCTGACATCTAAAATCAAGGGGTTGACATTCATTATTTTCCATGGCTCGAAGATAGCAGTTACTCTCTGTGTCCCTACAGGATGTTTCCTGTGACCTGATTTCCTCTCTTATAAGGACACTTGTCAGATTGGATTAGAGTTCGCCCTTATGACCTCATTTTAATACTATTGCCCTTTAGGCCTGTTGTAGGCAATAAAAATGATGTTGGGTTAAATATTGTTATTTATTTATTTATTTATTTATTGCCCTATGATTGTTGCAATGGTATTATTTAACCCACTATCACAAATAATAAGACATAGACACCTGTTAGATTTTATAGGTGCCTATTTACCTTGGGCTGAGCAGATATTTCTACCTACACTATCTCAATAACCTCATCATCCACCTCCCAGCCCCCATCCAATGCCATCATCCTTAATTATCCTCATCTAGTCTACCTTCCATCCATAATCCCAAGATATTTTTCATCTTAGTGTTTTCTCCATTCACGCCATTCTTGGAGTCCTTCCTCCTGGCTCATGTGGTTCCTTCTCCATGCTAACCCTTGTGTCCTTCTGCCTCCTCTCTGCCTATCCCATTCTGCCCTGCTCAGGTATAGGTGTTTTATCAACCAGTCAGGCATAATGTCTTAGGCAGGTTTATACAAGGATAGGTTTATCCAGGCAGTAACCAGTACTTGAGGTCCAGTACTTAGCATCAAAAATACCAGCATCAGGCCAACCCTCAACACAGGCTGATTTCCAAATATGGCCACAAATATGTAGACAGATACCAAAGGTCACAGAAGCAATGTTTCACATTTCTTTTCACCACAAACAACTACTTCTGTAACTATTCGCTGCACTACAGGCCCTGCTCTCCAGAGCCCAGATGTCATTCCTTCATTCTCCTGTCCTTGCCAGCTATTAAGTTGAAAGCCAACAATTCAGTATCTGGATTACTGCATGTCTCATCTATTTATTTAGAACTAGCCCTCTCAGGCTAAGAAAATGCCCTACAGCTTGCCTACAGCCCAATATTCTGGAGACATTTACTTAACTGAGGTTCCATCTTTTCAGAGGTCTTTATCTTGTGTCAAGTTGACATAAAACTGTCTAGCATAGTCAGAGAGTGGGAGGGCCAGCCTAGCACAAGGGGCATAGGAGAGATCGCTGGAGTCTCAGGCCAGGAGCTGCCTGCTTTAAGCCAGTGGAGGTTTGCTTGGCAGTCATGGTTTTAGTCAGAGAATAGGTAGGTAAGCATGAAGCATTGAGGTTTTTGGAGGTCCATTTCTGCTCGTTCCAAAGCTTACAGGGTCCCATAGGCGATGCTAAAGAGGGAGCTCTCAAAACAACGTCATCTTTAATTAGGTAATTGTTTGAGTGGCACCAGGGATCTGTAAGATTATGAGGATGAGTTTAATATTGACTCATTTCCTATAGCTGGACCTACTAGAGCTGTCTTTTATCTGTTTTGGTTTCAGGCACTTTCTTTGGATAAATGCAGTTGCGATGGAGGTGGAGATGTCCACCAGGGCTTCCAGTCACTCCTCGCTGAAGTGAACAAGACTGGCATGCAGTACTTGCTCAGAACAGCCAACAGGCTCTATGGGGAAAAGACTCTTGATACTCGAGCTGTAAGTCCTTCCAGTTTTCATAGAGCAAAGTGAGAGAGGAAGCATGTGATACACCAGAAAGTGTATGAGTGATCTGGCAGTTCCCACAGCTATCTGGGCACCACTGTGATTCTCGTATATGTCCATGTGCATTTGTGTTGTGTGGAAATGCACAGGCTGAGCCTCCTCAAACTGTTGCACAATCTCCATGTCACCCAAGATAAGAGGCTTTATAGAGTTGATGTGTGTCTTCCTGCATATACCGAAATTTATTTGTGAGTATTTTCCCTGCGTAGGGACATCAGAGCACACATGCTGTTCCATAATTTGTTTCTTTCATATTTTTTTTGCATTTATGCCATATTATAGTTTATTATGTCATTCTTTGTTATTACCTCACTATTAGTTTATTGTTGTTATTGATGTCAGGGTTGGAACCATGATGTCACACATGATAAGCGCATACTCAACCACTGAGCCATAGTCCCAGGCCTACCTTTTGTGACTGGCCATCACCTGATAGTCCTGAGTATAGATGCTTTCATGGCATGGGAAGCCATTTGTCCATGAATGGATTTAAACATGAACCCTCTCTGGGCCATTCCTAGCTATGTTATTGAATGTGATTTTGCACATTGTTTTCTTTTTTCTCCCAGATGTATATTTGCACAAAGAAGAGAGTACTGTAATATGTAGTGCTAATTTCTCTCCAAATTGGACCTACCATGATTCCTTGAGGCACAGCCATGGCTGTCTCCTTCTTATAAGAGAATTGTGAAATTATATTATAAAACTAGTACCCTGAAAATGACTGCAATATGTAGCCACGAGCTATTTGAAAGAAAGACTAGGAAATCATTCTTTATATGCAGTCAACATAGTATATATTTCATCCTCTTTGTGCTGTGTCATTTTCTGTTCTAACAGGGCAGATTGTAGGCAATTGTTAACATCACTGCCACTTCATAGCATGTAACAGCAATATAGTTCGGACATCTGCTTGAATTGTGTCCATTTGTGCTTCTGTCCTCACAGGAAGCTGTGAGGACAGATAGATGTCCTGTGCTCCTCACGACACAGTGCAGCACTACTGTAGCTCTTGTGGGGTCAAGCCTTACACTGAGCACACTTACGGTTACCGCACCAGAGATTGTTCCCAAGGACCTCAGTCAGCCACAGCGACTCAGCAAGGATCTGCTGTTTGTGGCATTTGAAGACTCTCCTCTTACCTCACTCAATAACCAAAATTCAAAAGAGTTGAGCACAGGCTTATTATGTATTTCCCCTCCTTTTTAATAGTAAGTACATTTGTGCATCATTCAGTTCTTGCTTTTGTGAACAAGGAAGGAGGAGGCTGCGTAATCACTTCGTGGCTGTGTAACCATGCTGCTCTGTGTCAGTCCTTTAAAGATTCCTGCCGCAAGTTCTACGGAGCAGAGTTGGAAGAGCTGGACTTCAAGAGCGACACAGAGCAGTCCCGACAGCACATCAACACCTGGGTAGCCACAAAGACCGAAGGTGAATGCAGAGTCGTTCTGTTTGTCTGATTGGATGGTTTGGGCTCTGGGAGTTGAACCCGAGGTCTTGAACATGCTCAGAGGCTCTCAATTACTGAGTTACCTCCTCGTCAGTGTCAGCCAGTTAATCTGCTTCTGCAAGTTAATCCTCTCCTTCAGAAGGACATCAAGTGTAAAGGGGAATATCTCTTTGCTTTTTCAGGTGATGCTTCCCTTTTATTGTATGGTTTTGCCATGCTAGAAATCAATTCCAGGGCTTCGTTCATGCTAGACAAACATCATACCACTGAGCTATAGCCTCCATCCCTAAATCAAAGCCTCTTAAACTTTTCCCATCCATGACCCCTTTTTCACTTAAGATATTTTTATGTGACTAATCAGCATATCAAATAAATTAAACATTTAGTCTCAGAACAATTGTTTGGCATGATATTTTATAATTTTTTAAGATTAAGGCACATCTGCATAGTAATGAGATTGTAGAGCTTGCCCAACCCAACAGGATCCAAATATATATAATTATTTATACTTACTCACTAACAAATTATGATAGAAGAATATTAAAAGTCTCCGTCTTTTGTGATTAAACCATTCTGTTTGGAGAAGAGCAGAATGTGTGTGGGAAAATATTGCCGTTCCCAACTTACGAGAGTCTTGAGTCTGAGCCGCAGTGTTTCAGACAGCATGAATTAGCATGATGGGAATGGTAGCCTGCCCGGTGCAAAGTGCATATGTGTGTTGAAAACCGTGGCTGCAGAGTTCAGGTGATCACCTGAACACCCCAGACTGATTACATGTTTGATTTCAAAGTAGTTTTTGGCTCTTGTGAAATCAGATCCTTTTTACTGTTGCGAAATTTTCCCTACTACCTCGTTCAGTTACATGATGGGATCAGGACCCTCATTTTAAGAAGCTCTCTTCTATGGTCAGGTATAGTGGTTCAGGCTTTTATTCTCGGTATTTGGGAGGCAGAAACTGAGGGATCTTTGTGAGTTGGAGGTCAACTTGGTCTATAAATTTGGTCTAAATACAGTGAATTCAAGGCTAACCAGGGCAACATAGTGAGAACATATCTCAAAAGGGGAGGGGAATGTAGCTTTCCTCTAAATTAATACAACCTTTATAATTCTGCCTTTGCTAAATAGTGTCTGACATATTGCCTAGCTTTATCCTGCTCTAAACAGTGTTATCTGTGATGTCTCTTAATATCTTAGCCTTTCCAGAGCCCTTTTTTTATTCCCTACCTATCTATCTACCTGCCTGCCTACCTGCCTGCTTGCCTGCCTGCCTGCCTTCTTTTGTCCTTCCTTCCTTTCTTTTAGTCTCTTTTCATGAATAGGATGAAGAACAGTTGGCACCTTGAGTTGGGAGCTCCCTGCTCTGGTGTGGCTCATATTCTACTGTTCTAGTGAATTCCTACAGGTGAGTCAACTTTGCCCTCCTTCGTCTGTGGTTATAATCTATGCCTATAGCTGCTCATCTATTTTTAAATCTAATTTTTAAAACCTGAGACAGCAAATTATACATATGTATGGGGCTCCATGTTATTTTCAATACATATAATGTTCCTCAGATAGGGGCTAATGCATTTATTGATCCAAATATTGTCCTGTGTATGTGGGTGCATGTGCAGGTCCACCTGTGTGTTCATGTGTGGGTGCATGCACATATGTGCTTCTGTGTGTGTGGAGGCCAGAGGACATTGTCTGTTGTTTCTCAGGTACTATCCATCTCATTGTCTTTTTTATTTTATTTTATTTTTTAAGACAAGGTCTCTCACTGGACCAGAACTCACCCAAATAGGCTATGCTGGATGTTCAATAGGTTTTACAGATCCAGCTGAGTCCACCTCCAAAGTGGTGAGATTACAAACATGCATGATCCCATCTAGTTGGTTTTGATTTGTTTGTATATGTGGGTTCTGGGAAATTAACTCAGGTCTTCTTGCTTGCAAAGCATACACTTTAATGATTGGGCTATCATCTTATAATTTGACATTATATCCAAACATTTTAAATTTATATATATATATATATATATATATATATATATATATATATATATATATATATATATATATATATATACATATATATATGTCTGTATATATATGTATATAGTGTGTGTGTGTGTGTGTGTGTGTGTGTGTGTGTGTCTGTATGTCCACCCATGTGGAACAGAGTTGGGCACCAGATCCCCTGGAGTTGGAGTCAAAGGTATTTGAGAGCCATGGGAGTAGAGGCCTTTGCTAGAGCATAAACACTTAAACTTAACCCTAAGCCACCTCTCCATCACCCACTCCATCCTTAAAAAGTACTTTAAATTCCTTCTTTAAGACACCAGCTGACACTTTCTAGCTCTTGTGTTAAGGAAGCACACTGAATATGCTAGCACTCAGTCATACACTTTATGTATTCTCTTGGAACAAGGATTTTTTTTTCCTGAACATTTTTTGTTTGTTTAATTTTTTTCTTCTTCTCAGAATTTTTGAAAAAGTGCCTCTTTTCTTTTTGGTAATGGTTGTGTTGCCTTAAGGACAAATACCTGACTGATATTTGAGGAACAGTGAAATACCTTAAATGTGTACTTGACCATTCAAAAATGACCCCTCTGCGTAGCAGTCCAGCATGCATAAGCCAGCCCTTTTAGCTAACTGGCTTTTTAATTCTTCCTTTCAGATAAAATTACAAAGTTGCTGTCTCCGGGTACAGTGGATTCAGACACTCTGCTGGTCCTTGTGAATGCCATCTACTTCAAAGGAAACTGGGAGAAGCAATTCAACAAAGAGGACACCCGGGAAATGCTCTTCAAAGTCACCGACGTGAGTGATGATTAATTCCCTGTTTATGTGGAACTCTGAAACACAGCAGAAGGCTGCCTCATGCAGCCTATGCTTCATATGGCTTTGGGTAGTTTGGCAAGGACCCCCAGCTAAACTTTAGGGATTTTCTCTTATCCTTTTCATCTTGCATGGTACCATGGGTATCTACTTGCTTCCCTTGCTATTGTGACCTGCTATTTTCCTGCTGGTGTTTCATGCAGGACAAATCTGTAGCACCGCTCTCTGTTACTTTATCTGGGTCTTTGGCATCTCTCAACTTTTGAGATAAAGTTCAAAATCTACATCTGGTGTATAAGACCCTTTGAGCACTGGGTCTTGCCCATCTTTCTTGATTCCCTTTATTTCCAGCACTGTCCTCCAGGGAGCTCCATCCATCGTCTACTCCCATTCTCTTGCTGATCTCCACAAGACAACAGAGCAGTCAACTACTTGTGGAGGGAGACAAATTGTCTCATAGTTGCTAGCTTACAACGAATGCTCAGTAAACACTGAATCAGCCGTGAAATTCAGTTTGGGTTTGATGGGACAGGGCCAGATTTTTGCTTACAGACAAGCAAACAAAGGCGTGTGTATGTGGGATAGCCTCTAAACTTAACAACCTCCTCTTTGGAGGATGTTACGTGCTTATGAATCTCCTTTGTTGTTCCTCAGCATAGGGCCTTCATATCTTTATACGTATTTAATGTTTTTGTTTCCTGTGCATGAGCATTTGGTCTGCATGCCTGTCTATGTATTTGCCTCGGGCCTCTGGTGGTCAGAGAGGAAGGTATTTAGGAGCTCTAAAACGGATGGTTGTGCGCTAGTTTATGGGCTTCGGGAACTGAACAGGTTCTCTGCGAGAGCAACAAGTGTTCTTAACTGCTGAGCCATTTTTCCAGCTCTAAGATCGTCTTCATCATGCTCACAACGTGGCTAAGACCTTTATCTGAACATGGGAAAGGACAGAGAAAGGAGAGCAAGAAACCTCTCCTTTGAGTTCCTGCCCTGGTGTCCAGAGGAAAGTATTTCCAATACGTTGTGTCCTTTCTTTCTTTCATATCTCTACAGTAGAGGCTGATGAGGCTGTGGCTACAGCAGGGATTGACTGCACCCATATGTGTACATAGCTGCTCTGCAAAGTTTGAACGAGCTATAGCAGCCATGTGTTTTTCTTGTTTCCAGTGGGTGGGCTTATTAACTACAACCAGTTAAAGTAAAAGAATAGAAAGCAAGTGATAGATGTAGATTCATGGATGGGTGGCTATCATCAAATCAGGAACTCAAGACATCCTGTAGAAATTGGTTGGAAAGACCCATTAAATAAAGCAGTCAATCAGAGTTCCCAAGAGAGAAAGCTCCAAATGGAGTGTCTGCTCAGGTGAGGCTCCAAATAAAAGAACGAGAAATAGAAAATTAACATCATCAAACTTGGGCCTTGCAAACACTCAGCAAACCAACTGAGGATGCGCTGTTCTGACAGCCAGCTATGGGGCAGGAGAGATGCCTCAGTGGTTAAGAGCACTGTCAACTCTTCCAAGGGACCCCAGTTCAATTCCTAGCACCCACATTGCCACTCACAACAGTCTGTAACTCCAGTTACAAGGAATTTGACATCTTTACACTAACGCACATAAAATAAAGTAAATAAATTATTTTTTAAAAAGACAGCCAGCTAGAGTTTCCCCATTGAGAGTCCCAGAAAGAACAGAATGTGCCCTCTCTGAGGCTTTAAAGTAAAGGCCTAAATAACAACAGATGGAGATAACAGCATCATGTCGGGGCTTACAACATCCAGCAGAAACCTACTGGGAAGTTGAAGCCATCATCTGGAGCCCAGTTGAACTTCCTCTCCCTGGCTGAGGATCCCAAGGTGGAACTTCCAACTTTTCTTTCCCACTGTAGGTACTCCTCATGTAATAATAATCACTAGAAACACCTGTCCGACATGATTTACCTTCTAACTGTTCTCAAGGACACAGTGTTTGTCCTCTTGGACTGTCTTGTCTTCCCTGTCACAGATTTGGGTCGAGGGGAAGGAGACATACAGACTTTTTTTAAATCCCATATTACTAAATGGACAGGAATTATAGACACAAATCTTTAAATTATTAAGATTGGGCCTCTTTATGTTACATGATTAGAGGCTTTGAGGACTGGAGATGTTTGGGGAGAAACTGCCCAAAGCAGAGATCAACACATTGTGGGTTCCAACCAAAGCCTGGACCCATTTTCCCAGACAGAGGTTCATTAGGACACACTCCTGCTTGTTATTTGAAAGCTGCTCCAACAGTAGACCGAGTAGTTGTGACAGGAAGTGTGTGGGCCACAGGATCAAGAATCTTTACATGCTGGTCTATTATGTCTGGTGTGTTAGTTGCAGGCCAAGGTCATGATTGAAGAGACATGGTTCAAGGGTGGTTCAAGCAGACATGACATGCATGGTAAGGACAGAACACAACAACAGAGATGGCTTTCATATGATTCAGAATGGTGTGCTGTGCCAGAGACCAGAGGCAGCTAAGAGCCTTTGGCTGTATTTGTCACAAGGCACTCAATAAATCTGTAATCATTTCTAGAATTAAACCACAAGAGCTTTAAGAACTGAGGAGGATGGTTGGGTTTGGCTAAGGATGTACTGGCAACGACTTCAGTTCTTTTCCAGGAAGGTGTTCATTTTGCCTGGCCCTCAATATTGCTGCTTGTCAAAGGGTGTGGCTTGAGAGCCTGCTGTGCCACTGGTATTAACTGACTGAGTGTACCCATGCACTTGAAATTCTTTTTCCTCAGGCAAGCAGTAAGAGATAAAGATAGATAAGAACACTGTGGTTGGTGGAAGGGCTCCAGAGACATCCAAGGAGCTAGTAGGATGCTGTGCTTGGGCTACCTACTGGCTTGCTCAGCCTGCTTTCTTACAGAACCCAGGACAAAGAGCCTAGGGATAGGCACCACCCACAATGGGCTTTGCACCCCACCCCGACCCCGACAGATCACTAATTAAGAAATGCCCTGCAGCTGGATCTTATAGGGGCATTTTCTCAACTGAGGTTCCCTCCTCTCTGATGAAGCTAGTTTGTGTCAAGTTGACACAAAACCAGGGTGTGGTTGTGGAGGAAAGATACTGAGGAAGCCTTCACTAGGAAGATGGTGTGTGAGTAGGCACAAGGATACAAGGACCTGAGATTCTGCGTTCTGAGGACCAGTTTTTTTGGGAAGGAAGGAGGTAAAGCTGGTTTGCCATAAAACCACAAACTGCCCCATGACTGCAGTGGAGCAGTGAAGGAAAAGGAACAGTCAAGGAATAGTTAGTACAGGTGAGGGGGTGGGGGTGAAAGCAGGACAAGCTCTTGTTATGACTCCAGGTTGTTCTAAGGTCATCAACTTTTGCTCCCATAAGAGCAGTGGTTCTCAACTTTCCTAATGCTGTGGCCCTTAAACAGAGTTCCTTATGTTGTGGGGACCCCTAACCACAAAATTATTTGCTGCTGCTTTGTAACTGTTATGATTCATAAAGTAAATCTCTGATAAACAAAGTATCTGCTAGGTGATCCTTGGGGGTGGGTGTGTGTATGTGTGTGTGTCAAGACCCATAAGTTGAGAACCACTGTGTTAGAGCATCACAATCCTGGGGTGTTGAGGCAGAGTGTGTACTCTGACTTGCCTTGTGCTGGGACCTGTGGCTGCTGTGTTAAGGTCAGTGAAAAGTAGGTCATAACAGTATCCCAGGGCTGTGCTGATGGCCGTGGAGGTTAAAAGTAAAGTCAGATTGTGGTTATATTTCAAAGGGTCAGACAATACAATTTGGTAATGAGGCAGATGCAGGGTGAGGGAAAAGAATGAGTGAAGGACAGGTAATGGTTTTGACAACCAGAAGGAGTATGAGGAACAGTGTGGTTGTTTAAATAAGAATGGCTCCCATAGACTCATAGTTGAATGCTTAGGGAGTGGCATTAGGAGGTGTGGCCTTGTTGGAGAAAGTATGTCACTGGAGTGGGCTTTGGGATTTCAGATGCTCAAGCCAGGCCCAGTGGAACTCTCTCTTCCTGCTGCCTACTGAGCTAAATGTAGAACTCTCAGTTCCTTCTCTAGCACCATGTCTGCCTGTGCACTGCCATGCTTCCCACCATGATGATAATAGACTAAACCTCTACACCTATAAGAAAGCCCCAATGAAATCTTTTCCTTTATAAGAGTTGCAGTGGTCATGGTGTCTCTTCACAGCAACAGAACACTGGCTAAGACAGACAATAGTTGAAGATGGATCAAATTTGCAAAAGAAACTACGGAGCTCATGCTTATATCTTAAGTTGGGCCTTTCTTTTTGTTTAAGTGAAAAAGTCAAATGGGAAGTAAAATGTATGTTCAGAGTCCAAGAGGAGAACTCTTGGCTAAAACAGTGAATTTGGGAATTATGTTCAAAGTCATGAGAATGAAATCCCAATAGAAAAAAAAAAAAATATATATATATATAAAAATATATATGTAAAAAAAAATATATATATATATATTGGCCCATTCCACTTGTTTGAAGACTGGGTCAGTCAGCTTTCTGACAGTGTGTTAACAGATATTGAGACAATCAACTTAAGAAAAGAAAAGGTTCATTTGACTCACTTTTGGGGATTCCAGTTCCCAATGAGATGAGTCCATGATTTAGACCTGTTATATAAGGGTACTGACCAGTGATGGTGGTATTAAATTAAAGCAAAGTGGGTCATCTCAAGATTAGAAAATGAAAGAAAAGAAAAGAAAAAAAAAAGCAGGGTCCCACAATCCCTTTTAAGGGTATGTCCCAAAGACACAAACACCTCCCACCCTTAAAGACTCCACCTCTTCCCCAAACTTTACTCTGAGGAACAAGCCATGAAAAATTGGCCTTTGAGGCACATGAAAGGTCTAAGTTACTCTAGAGGTTGAGGGACTGATGGAATGTTCTAGAAGTTTAGTCAAAGTGTTCCTAGAGGCAGAGAGTGGCTGCCTCTGTGGCCCAAAGTATTCACTGTGTCTTGTTTCCACTTAAATGTTTATCCATCCTTTACAGAATGAGGAGAAACCTGTGCAGATGATGTTTAAGAAGTCTACCTTTAAGATGGTTGACATAGAAGAGATATCCACCACTATTCTGATGCTTCCCTATGTCGGCAACGAGTTGAACATGATCATCATGCTTCCAGAGGAACATGTTGACTTGAGAACAGTAAGGACCATGAGACTTTGATGAAGCTGTTGAGAGAGAAAGAGTGGCATTTGAGTTTTTGCTGGGGCAGCTCTCCTAATCATGCATTTATTTTCCTTTCATTTTTATGGGGCTGGGGCGGAACCCAGGGCCTGGGGCATGCTTGGCAAACACTCACTACTGAACTGCTCTTTAGCCCTCCCAGCTACCATATCACCCCACAGCAAAACTTCTCTGGACAGTGTAGAGCCTTCCCATTGTTTCAAGTGCCCTGTGTCACAGCACTGTCCTAAAGTCCTGAACTCTCTTCTAGGTGGAAAAGGAAATAACTTATGAGAAACTCAATGAGTGGACAAGTCTGGACAAGATGGACGAAGAAGAGGTGGAGGTTTTCCTCCCACGGTTTAGACTGGAGGAGAACTACGACATGAAGGATGTCCTGTGCAAGCTGGGAATGACTGATGCCTTTGAGCAGGGCACGGCAGACTTTTCAGGAATAGCCTCTAAAGAAGGCTTGTTTCTGTCTGAGGTCATTCACAAGTCCTTTGTGGAGGTCAATGAGGAAGGCACAGAGGCTGCAGCTGTCACCACTGCCAATATAGGTTTTAGGTCTATGCCCCACTACTTCTGTGCTGACCACCCTTTCCTTTTCTTCATCCAGCACAGCGAGACCAATGGGATTGTGTTCTGTGGCCGGTTCTCCTCCCCTTGAGAAAGGATGCTGGTGTGTGAGCCCACTGGGCCTCCCCCACCCCCATGATTTGTTTGTGGACAATAAATGTGGTGACAAGTTTGTGCTTGTCACAAACCAAGCACTTAGCAGATGAAGGGTGAAAGAATCAGAATTCAAGCAGGGCCAACCTCAGCTACGTAGCAAGTTCAAAACAAGCCTTTGCTACTCTAGACCATTAAAAATAAAAACAGAACAAATCAAAACAGAACTAAAGAAAATAGCTGCATCTGGGTTCTTTATGAAAATGAAGTATTTAGTTCACAGTTCTGGAAGCCACAGAACATAGTTGGGGCTTCTTTGCAGCTCAAGCGTGCAAGGTTGTTGAACAAGTATGTGAGGTTCAGATTTGCTATGAACAAGCCATTGCCATAGGACTTACTCCAGCCCCTTGACACCTACACTACTCCTTTCCTAGACCATGACCTTCAAGACTAAAGTGATTTTACCACCACGTGGGAGACTACACCATCATTCTGTAAACCCTCATGAGATAAACGTCATCTGAGTCAACACCCTTCATCTTCCGTAGCGCTTCTGGCGTTTTAATTTTTTGGTTATATAGTAGTTTATTTTTACAGTACTGGGGATTTCTCATGACGCTTTACACAGGCTAGGCAAGTGCTCTAGTACTCTACACTGAACAATAGCTACAACCTCCTTTTTAAAAAAATGTTTTTTTTTTCCTTTGAGAGAGGGTCTCACTGAGTTGCCTAGGCTGAACTTAAACTCTTTCTGTAGTTTAAGTACATTTTCAACTTGAGACCTTTTCACCTCAGCTAACTGTGTGGCTAAGATTACAGGTTTTTGCCACCATGTCTAATGTTCCCAGTATTTTGTGAAGCATTTGGGAGAAGGAGATTCTGGGTAGAGCAACTGCTTTGCAAGATGATTCTACTACAGGGAGTGCCTTTGAGATTTACAAGCCTGAGCTCCATTTGCCAAGGGCTTACAATAGTCCCCGGATGTAACTGGTAGAACACTCAGGCCTCCAGAAAGGAGGGCAGCCCCAGACCCCTGCTGCCCAAGCCTGAGGCAGCCTTAAATAGTAACTCTACGATCTGGTGTCATTTTGACTTCTACTACCCAACCCTGCATCTGGAGGACTCCTAGCACTTAAGCTAATTGTGCTAAGACCTACTACATGTCATGGAACCTTTCCTCCTTGCCCCAATCCTACCATGCACCCAGCTCTAAAAAATAAATAAATAAAGATAGATAAATAAATAAATCAATAAATAAATAAATGAAAATCCTATAGCAACAAGGGATTTCCTGTGTTCCAGAGGCCTGAAGGCTTTTCCCCTTCAGAACCCACTTCTCTCTCTCTACCTCTCTCTATGTCTCTCTGTGTATGTGTGTGCGTATGTGTGTGAGTGTGTGTGTGATGTGACTGTGGTGTGGTGCTAGTTCCTCCCTTTATAAAGCTCTGAAGTAAAGGACTGCATGTTTCGCCACCTTTCATTTGAACCTACAGGGAATTACATAACAGTCCAACTATATTGCATGTGTCTCCTTGGCTCCCAGCTCTGAAGGTATTTGCATTTGGGACACAGGGCAAGCCTTGCAGTCAGATGGAAGCCACGTTCTCACATGGATTCTGAATGTGGTAGTCAGGCCACAAACCACACAGACTGTGCAGAGACACACCTCTACTCCTTACTGCTGTTTTTTTGGACGTGAAATGTTCCTCAAGGGTCCATGTGTTAAAGGCTCAAACAACACCCTTATGGGAGGTATTGAAACATTTAGGAGGTGGGGCCTAAGAGCAAAGTTAGGTATGTGGGGCATGGCTTGAATGATGCTGCACCCTCCCCTTTTCACTCTATGCTCTCTCGCTCTCTTTCTCTCTCTCTCCTTCCTCCCCCCTCCCTCCTTTATCTCTCCCCACCATGTCCTTGCTATGATCTGAGCTGCTTCCTCTACTTTATATTCCTACCATGATTCTGTGCCCCATCACGGGTCAAGAGGAATAGTCCGAACTGATCGTAGACTGATACCTCTAAAGCCATGATCCAGAATAAACCTTTCCTCTTTATAAGGCGATTGCATTTCATCACAGTGATAGAATGCTGATTAATGCACTTATTACAGTTAGCCCAGCCTTCAAAATCCAAGGATCACATAAAAAGCATGAGTTTATTCCAGGAATATAAAATTGATGCAACTGATAAAAATTACTCTCACATTTTTCTTTTACAGAATAAAAGCTCATAGTCATTTGGTCAACTTAATGGATGCCAAAATAGCTCTCTCATCCTAAAGAACCCTGTGGTTGACAGACACAAATAACAGGGGGCACTTATTTTACTTTAATTAATTAAGTAGGAGCTAGGGATTGAAGCCAATGTTCACACATACTAAGAATATGATCTTCCAGGGAGCTACACTCCTAGCTTTGGGCCTATTTTTTTTCTGAATATTTTTTAATTTATTTTAATTTATTACAATTTATTCACTTTGTATCCCAGCTGTATCCCCCTCCCTTGTCCCCTCCCAATCCTGCCCTTCCTCTCTCTTCTCCTTCCATGCCCTCCCCTCAGTCCACTGATAAGGAAGGTCCTCTTCCCCTTCCCTCTGACCCTAGCCTATCAGGACAATACCCTGGCTGTATTGTCTTCCTCTATGGCCTAGTAAGGCTGTTCCCCACTCAGGGGGAGGTAATCAAAGGGCCAGCCACTGAGTTATGTCAGAGATAGCCCCTGTTCTTCTTATTAGGGAATCCACTTGGAGACTAAGCTGAGTAGGCCTCTTTTTGATAGTTTTTGTGTTTTTTATCATCCAGGCAAAATAAAGTTGTTTACATATGAAATTTCATCTGCAACTCTTTTTCTCCCTTGCTCCCTCTCTTTCCTCTCCCTCCCTTCCTTCCTTCCTACTCCTGTCCTCTCTCTTTCCCTTGGATACAGTGTAGCTAGTTTAAACTCTCCATTCTCTTGCTTCAGGCTTCTAAATACTGAGATTACAAGCATTTGCTATCATACTCAGTTTAAAGCCACTGTTTAATAGTTTAAATAGTTATAATTATATCACTGTTTTTAAATCTGTAGACAAGTTTGATACATTTTTCTCATTTAAAACATCCTTTCATCTTATAATCACTTGGAAATATTTTTAAAGATTTACTTTTATTTGTGTGTGTGTGTGTGTGTGTGTGTGTGTGTGTGTGTTTGTGTGTGTTCCTGCAGAGACCAGAAAGTGCATCAGATCCCATGCAGCTGGGGACACAGGCCGTCATAAGTCCCCAGTGTGAGTACTGAAAACCAAACCCTGGTCTTCTGCAAAAACAGCATGTGCTTTCAACCACAGAGCCATGTCTTCAGCCCCTCACTTAAGGTGCTTTTTTGGAGTGCAAGGTTGACTGCGTAATTCTCTTCGAATGTACAGCCATGAAATTACACACACAACCGTATTTCTAAGGAAAACACAATGAATACAAATATCCTTCAAAATCTGACTGAAAGAGCTCAAGGCTAACAGCAACAACAAAAAATTACTATCTGTTTCCCCCAAATACCTGAACATAAGCCCTGAACTCCCTTTTTGAAAACATTTACTAAAATTGAATTAGAATTCTGACTCATTTCTTATTTCTTAATTCATGTAACTGTGATCCCTTACTACACAACCATGCCTTTCTCAAAAACGAAAAACTTCCACAGACCTGTATCCCAGTCTCTGTGGAAAGGTCGAGTCCAGACTTGATTATTTCACAGCTGGCTTAATTGTACTTTCATATTCTTGTTTTCTGTTTCTCCAACTTTTCTATCCCCTTTCTTCCCTCTCCTGTTAAAACACCAAATCATCTGTACACAAAGTTGTGATTGCCTCATTCCGGATCCTCTTACTTATCACAGTTATGAAAGTGTCTTCTTACAATTTTAATTGCCATCTAGCTTTGCCTTCAACACAGACACTGGAGAGCACCAATTGCAGATCTGTGAACAGTGGAGGGGAACCTGGGACTGGTTTCTAAGCCTCTGATTCATAACTGAACCTTAGTAACTGTGTGAAGACTGTGGTGTGTGCTAGGGGCCTGTGTGTCCTGCCTGTCATGGTCCCATCACACCTTTCCTCTGTGAGAAGGAACCAAAGTGAAGCCATTTTGAGTAAAACTTCCATTTTTAATGGGGTGTCAAAAAAGTTTTAAATCCCCACACCTGCCTGGGTAACTGACATCCTGGCTGGCAAGTTGAGATACATGAATGCTGGACAAGTTATCTCACCACAGATGAATAAGCCAATTTACCCTGCTCTAAAGCAGGATACATGTACCACAAAGAAAAGTTTTTAGGAAATTCCCCTCTCCCTGAATTCTGATTGGTGAAAAATATAAATGTAACTTGGCATAAGGGATTGTGGCTTTTGTGATTTTTTTGGTACTCAAAAGCTCTGCAACATTCGGACTGGCAACCGCAGTTCAGTTCTGTTCTGCCTCCCTGATCTATCGGTAGCAGCTGGATCACAATAAACTTTTCTTTTATGTGCTAAGTTGGTGTTTGAGTTGTGCTGGTTCCAAGTGGACCCCACAACACCTCTTTTTCACCATTGCCCATAACAGCAGGTTCCGTAATGTAAACGTCATAATGTAGCCAGCGATCTTTGTGAAACAAAGATGTGGTTGTATTTGTCCTCACTCAACTAACCTATAGGGGTTCCCCCTAGACTAAAAAAGAAAAAGAAACCCCAGTGAGAGAATTAATTTTATGAGTCAGTTTTGGGTAGTTTCAGCAGAGCACAGAAGGCTTTAGCATAATGAATCTTGTTCTGTACGATGCCACAGTGTTGGACATGCATTGCCATACACTTGTTCAAATCCATAGGCGATCAGGAACATCAGTGATAACAAATCATTGCAAAGCTATTTTGCATTCCCCTTTTGATTCATTTGTGACCCCAGCCCATGGAATATTGCTACCCACTGTGGCTGTGTTTGGTCATCCCAATTAACCTAATAAGGGTGTGACTCATGTCCTTGGTGATTCTAGAACCCACCAAGTTGAAAATATGAATCATCACACATACGCCATGCTGTTGCAGTTGCTCTTAGGCTCGGCCTTCTCACTTGTATTTTGGAGTTGCTCTTTGGGCTAAGAGAAGTTCAAGCTTGATGTACACCGTGAGATTTGGAATTGCTCCATGGGCTTCAGTGTGGAAAGTAGATCAGCATGGTCCTGTGAAAGGGAGAAAGGCAGAGTCTCCTTGAAGGAATGCAGGTGAGATCAAGGCACACAGGATAATGAGGTGACACAGACTTGGATGACTTAGCTTTAAAATTAGAGAAAGGGCCCACAGCGGCTTCAAGACTGAAAATA